GGCTTTAAAGTGATCAAAGTTTGCCCTTTTCAGATCACGGAACAATACGAAATGGCAAGACAGTGGAAATCGACAGATCTCGCAGCGGCCACATGCCTTCTATATCTAATTATTCAGCTCGAACTAAAAGATACTCGACTCATCTTTGTCTGATTTCAGTATTTGCTTCTCATTCTCCAAGTTTTGCATTAATAAATTGTTTCTTTTCAGGACAGAACCCTGGACAAATATAGAACAAATGCATGTGAATTTAGATCGAAAGAATTTATAATTAAACCTCTACAATAATCTCTACACAGTTGACATTTATTTATAATCTCTTCAATGGCGACAATCCCAAAAAATGATAAAATATTCAAATTATTTGAATAGCTTAAACACCAAATAATGGTTGAAACTGTAATGGTGGCACTACCACAGAAGCTAACAGCCTTCCTGATCTCCTTTATTGGGGGTACTACATTGGTATTTTCACTCAACGTTCTTATACTATGAAAATGACACCAGCGCTAGCGGCATGCTTCCTGTAAACATTTCCAGACTCAAATTTTAGGGTTTAGCACTTTAAACTCATTTATACATAATAAAACCACTGAATGAAACCTATAATAAACAGACTGAAGGAGAAGATAAATGAATGGATGGCACTTTTAGAAAATGAATAGGAAAAAAGGCTGGCAATAACAAATACTTGCCCATACTTTGTTTTCTTTATCCCATGGTTATTCAGACTCATAGTGCACTGAAATTCCATACTTTACTAGACTGCATAGAAACCTTGTTATTCCTGTAACTAAGATCTGCTTTAATGCGCTTCTCTCCGTGACTTTAAGGAAGCTACACTGCCTGGACTCTGAGCTCTAACCTCTGAGCTGTCAGTTTGCCTGTGGCTAACCTTGAAACCTCACGCTTCAGGTTAGATACAAACACCCACACACACACACACACACACACACACACACACACACACACACACACACACACACACACACACACAGCTGTGATGTCCCGCTCACCACAGAGTGTATACTCTAGCCCAGTGTGGAGGGGATGGAAATCAGAGCATGGATCATGGCAAAGACAACACAGTACCTGAATTTCGCCTTGTGCTCAGGTTCAACACAGTGGGTGGTGTAAAACGTTTCCCCCCAAAATTTGTGAAGAACATTTGTTGATAGTAGAAACCGGGAAAATGTTAGTCACTATGTTTACCACCATGTTTGGAAGTAAGAAATTCTTCTCTTTTTTTTAGGGGGTGAAAAGTAAATGTGTAAACTTCCCAATCCCAAGGTTCTGCGCCAGATGTTGGAAGTTTTGATGCTTGAACAGCTGCGGTATTAATAAGCAGGCGCAGGTCATCCCTTGTCATCATTAGCTGACCTCATCTACGTGACGGCTGCCACCTTGACTCTACGGCTAATAAGTCGGGCGTGACACTAACGATGAGCAGCAGTGACAATCAGCACAATATCACTGTTGTTCTGCCGCTGTGCAAACAGGCCGCTGTCTGTTTAAATGAAGTCTGTAATGACTGTAATGACTTACCAGCTCACAGTAGTTTTTGCTTGACTGCAACACATTAAACATGTCAGGGTAAGAAGGAAATAAACCAGTAAATGTTCATTTTCTCCCATTTTTGGGGGGGACATCTGTATAGTAATGGGTCTTGTTCAATGTGTTATTGTTCCTTAAATGTAGCATCTCTGTCCCTTTGCAGCAGATGCAAGAAGAAGGCAGTAAAAGTCTGAAAAGATGCCCAAGGTTTGATTTTGCAGTACAGCAGACCCCCAGTATTCAAGGCCCTGCATGGTTGGACCAAAGTCGAACTGATGCGTAGTAACGTGGTTACAAGATATTTGTTTTTGCACTCTGCCTTCACGGTCCGCAAGACGGTAAGCACAGCGATTATGGCAGAGAGGAATGACTCAAAAGTTCGTCGGAGGAGGATATAATGATGGTGGTGGTGTTAGGGGTGGACGACATGAGGTCGAGAACAAAGTGATGTGATTTTGGTCCCTCAATTGCGACAATGAGAACTGATTTTGCCACTTTGGCTCGACCATGCAGAGCCTTTTAGAGATCACAACCACCCATCAATAAATGAAATCTGCAAATATTTGATACACCATCTGAAGATGCCTATAACCTCCTATTTCAATAGTTAAACACAAAATACACCTTCATATGCATTAATAAGCACAGCACAAAAAGTTTTAGTCACAACTGGAGGAGCTAACATCTGATCTTTCTTATGTCCTCTCTTGGGAATACAACCAATATACACCAAGGAAAATGACTGGACTCCAGGATTGGCTGCTTTGGCAATGCCAGCCAATGCCAAGCAGAACAGAAGCTAGGTATTTTAGCTTTCCAAGCTATATTTTCTTAGATATGTGCTTCCGAAAAAATCTGTGAATGTGAATCCGTGAATATGAGATGGTTATAGTAAAGGATGGACTTTTTGCTGATTTAAAGGCTTGGAAAATTCAGAAAGTAAACCATGTTCACCTGGAAACATATTTAATAATCAAGGAGCCATATGAAACTGAAATCAGACTCCTCTATTTTTCTCCTTCTGCAAGTTTCATTTTAGTTCATTTAGACTGCATAAAGAGGTAAATGCCTCTGACTATCTCAAAGAAAGGCACAATCGGTTTAGAATTAAAAACAAATGACAATAGCTAAAGCACACATAGAAGGACTTGTGTACGACTCTAGGTGACTGTGTATTCATTTATCTCAGCAAGGGGGTGGATTTACTAAATGCACGTTATCCAATCAGCGGTCGGAGATTAGATGTGCAGAACGCTGTGTGGAACATGGCAGTGAGCCTCGGCATAATGTCACTGCGGAAAGTCATCCAGGCTGTGTCCTTTGATCCTCAGAGAATCAAATCAACAGACAGAGTTTGTGGTGTTTTATTCAATAAAGCTGAGGAAATGTCAAAACAAAGCGAAAGAAAACTTCCAGACTCAAAATGAATTTTCATCCTGACAAAAGTGTTTCAACGGCCAAAAGAATGTTCTCGGTTTGGTTTCATTTACCACCCTGAAGACCCCCTCCGTGTTCTGCTCATGTTGAGCAATCAGTGCTGTGGCTGGTTCTGCTGTACGCTCACACAGCTGGCAGATAACTGGGTTACTATTTAAGGCAATAAAATCAAAACCATAGAGACAGATGAGGGTCATTCTGCCATTTTGTGGATTTGAGGGAGCAAAGATTTAGTGAGAGTTCAGGGAGGAAGCATCTATAGCACTTTGTATACATGTTAATATTTTAGTTTATGTCTTGCCTAGTGGTCTCAATTATCCAGGCAGGCTGTGGTTACAAGCTGGACATCGTGTTTTTGCACCAGCATCTGTGTTGCAACTGGTGTGCATCCATTGGTCTGCTTGATTCCACATTCCAATGTTAGCTGAGAGTAAACAGTAACCATTTAAATTTGAACCATGTGAGCTTACAGAGCTGAAGAAGAAAAAAACAAAACAAAATGCTTTCATTTTTACTTGACTAGATGAATGCAGCATGTTGCTTTTACGAAGAACCAGAAATCAAAATGTTCCTTCGCCCCCCTCAGAATCAGGGAAGAGAGATCACACCAGACCTGTGCTGCAGAAGTCCTACTGCCCCCCAGGAAAATGTGGGCTTGATTGTAAAATTGTGTTGCTCCTTCCTAAGGCCAAACGTTGTCTGGCGAACACATTTCCTTTGGCTGTGCTTTTAGCTGTTGAGCCAGCTGGAGCACTCGGGTCATCTGGAATAATCTCTCTAGTTGTTGAAGAGTGCCTGTAGCTACTGGAGCAACTGCCCCGACAATAACCCAGTTAAACAGTCGCAATTCTACTTTCTTCGCCATTTAAATCAGATTCATTTCACATCGGTCAGTTTTCCACCAGACATGCTTGTTTTTGATATTACATCTGTCCTTTCTTTATCAAAATGTATGTTGTTTTTTGTCATTTTTATTCACTTTGAAATGCCTTGCTGCTGAAATGTGCTATACAAATAACATTTTGAAATTTGATTTTGATTTTATTTTTTATTTCTATAGTGTTTTTACTCTTAGGTTGTCGTGTCTAGCAGGATTTTCTATCACACTTTTTTCCTTCCACTTAACTTTCAATTGATCAGCTTGAATAAAAGACATGGAACAACCAGTCTCTTCTTTTGGAGCCTGTCAATCACGTCTGGACAACTTTTAAGTCAGCAGTATAACCAATAGCAGTAAAAGCCACAATGGCTATAGAATAACATTTTTACATTAAAGATAATTTTATTGCTCTGACACAATATTCAAGGTTTCTGAAAAACTGAATTTGGATTTTAATTTGCTGCAAGCTATAATCATAAAGTTAACAGATGTAAATATTTAAATTATTTCTTTGAGTGTGTACTGAATATAAGTATTTTTACATTACATTTTTAAATAGAGTTAAATTTGAACATCTAACCTTCAATTTATATTTATAACAAAATGTGCAATATATGGATCAAAATGATTATTTTCATCTTGGGGAAAAACCTGACAAACTGCCAAAGTTTTTGGTACAAATGTTTTCAGTCTTTTTAATGTTGTATGTCTGGGGGACAATTCACATTTTCTTGCATTTTCTTGCATTTTCTTTCTGCTGTCCCTTTATTTGTAAACAATACAAATTGAATTGAATATTGGGAAAAAAAATGTTAAAAACATATGATTAACAAAAGTAATAGAAAAATCAGAACATCACACAACTTTATGAAATATTTTGGTGGATCTTTGTTTTTTGTTTAATCAGTGATATTTGTCTTGTTCATTTATGTGGTTTTTACTTTAGACACAGGCGAAACATGATTACTAAAAAAAAAATCATTCTTTTGGAACCCACGATTAGCATGAATCTCTTAGGTTTAGGTCTATAATTTATATAACTAAGTTATAAAAGTCTCAGATTCCCTGTAGTCTGCACTGCACGATCTGACAGATGGAAAGAAAAATGTGCAGAAGAAAAGCAACTTACGTTGGCCGTCCTGATAGAGGTGTAGGGAGTGGATCTGGAAAAGAAGACAAGGGGAATTTTATGACAGGATAAACAATATTGCTTCCAGATTTTCTCTATGCAAGCAGCCAACGAAGAGAGGAATCAGCTGGTTTAAGTGTTGCTGATGAGCTTGGAAAAGATGAGCAGAGGAAAAGCCTTGTCATTGTACAAAGATATATGTGTGGCAGTAAGTTTTTCTTTTCGTAAATCACTCAACAAGATCACTTAAGATGTTCTTACCAAATTTGACAAACAGAACCCCTGTTGTGGAAACGGTACCATGCACGTTGGTCGCAACGCACTGGAAGTAGCCTGTGTCTGTGGTGTCCAGGTTGCGAATTCGCAGGCGTGATCCGTACGACATGGACCGGTAGGAGACCCGCCTTGGCTCCTGCACCACTGGGGCGTCGTTTTTCAGCCAACGCACGACAGGCTGCGGGTTCCCGGACACACGGCAAATAAGCTCTGCTGTTTGACCCAGCGACGTTGTTATGTTGTTCATGGGAGCTTCGAGCCGGATAAATGCCCCTAGAAGACAGACAGGATGAGTAGGATACAAAAATAACAGGATAAGAGTTGTATTGAGCAACATTACTGCCTTCAATTTCTATCTGTAGGTACGAAATAAAAGCAGAAGATTTAGAAAATACATAAAATCAGCTGGAAAAATTGGTGCAAAACAAATGATTGATTTCAGTCCCAAGGCTGGTTTTGCACATCGTTCTGTGGTCACCTTAGCTGTGACACCTATTTTCACTTTTCATCGTAAGATGCGGTAAGAGACCCTGAGGTTTGAGTTACTTAAAGCAGAAGCTTATGAAGGAGAAGAACATAAATTATTGAAGAAGTTAGAGAACCCACAACATTTAGGTTTTGAGCCTGTTTTGAGTTGCTTTCTGAAGTGGTTAGGTTGCACACTAGCATTTTGCCAGCTTTTCTTTTCCTTTTGCTCTTTAAATAAATTCCACATCTTTACAGCACTTTTTCTAAAACACATCTAGGACAAGTTACAAAGCAAAAGTCAACTTTGAATAAACAAGTTACAAGTGTTAAATACTTGCATTATATTTTACCACATGATGTTACATAGCTCACAATTAGCTCAAGTAATGACGTTATTTCAGCATAAAACATGGTGTGTAACTGAAGGAACTTGTTCACAGAAAAATAATTTTAAAAAAAATTCTCCTTTCAAATTTGTCCTAATAGTTAAAATCACAACAGGCAACCTGATTATTCTGACGACTCTGGTGTAAATTGCCTCATGATTTGCACATGACCTCTTTTTTGCATCAGTAACTGCAAATATTACAATGAAGACCAACAATTTAAGTCATTTGTATCTATTCTGGTTTTGTTTGGTTGCAGTTATCCTAGCATTGTTGTTGGAAAAACATCCGACTGCATCTGGGAGAAAATTACTCCCAGAATAAGGTTTCTGCTTCAATAAGAAAAGTATGTCATTTTAATGAGATAAAAGGAAAAATAAAGTTTCCCTTTAATTGCATGCATGATAATTACTTAAAGCGGGTAAACGGTGTTATTGCAAAGAGACGTTTGTCCAATAACAATGTTTTAGGAATAGATTTTTGTTTGTCTGTAGCTTAAGAATTAAATGGGGAATGCAAACTCTGGTTTACTCTCATTTAGCATGTGCATGTAGTGTAATAACTTCGCCCCTCTAACCATAAACATAGCTGCTAAGTATTTAAAAATGTAAGTAAGCCCTTAAATAAATGTTGTGGTTGCCATCTAACTGACATCGTACATTCCACATCATAAAGAAGACATTGGCCCCAACCACAAGGCTAAAGGTGTTTATGTAACCCATTAAAACAAGTATGAGGTCCCCACCAGAACCAAGTTGGGCTTAAGCCAGGTTTTGGGGCAGTTTGCTGCATTTTGCAGCTTTCAGTACGTGGCAAAATGTTTGCCACAAAAATGTGAACACTTACAGAAGATAATGAAAATTGTTACTCTGAAATTACTCTGTATATTCTAACATCTAGACAGATGGTGGCATCCAATTGGATATTCACAAAACAACTAAAAACCCCTAAATCTGAACATAATATAAGAATGACAACCAAACACACTGGAGAAAACAGGACCAACTGTTCACTATGATGTTTTGCCAGAAATATCTACAGCCTTCCTCCACAACAAATCAAAACTCTCATTACAAATCCATGTAAAACAATGTCTGGTCCTTTACATTAAAAAATAATAATAATAAAAAAACCTCCACCATCCACTGGGGGAAAAATATTTATTCTCAAGTGTTTTACAAAAAAACAGGAAAAGATGCAGTTATTATTTATGAAAACTAATGATGATATCGTTTGTAATTAACCTACATGCACAGTTTTTTCTCGTTACCACAAGTTTTGCACCAATCTCCCTGTCTTTGACACATCTGCTACTAAATCCTATGTCAAGTATAGGCAGCAAGAGTATTCAATGTCCATGCAGCATATGCATGATTGGCAATTGAAATATAAAAACCTACCAAATATTGCATTCAAGCAGTCCATTTTAATTCCACGCAATGATACTGGAATGACAATGTTTATTACCTGATAATCGATAAGGTGCTGTTTGTTCTTAGCCTATTCAATAATAGGCCAAATGACTGTAATTAATATCAAGGTAAATACGTAATTGCAATACTTTTGAATACTACAATAACATATTATTATTAACCTACATTTTAATGACTCTTGACTTTCTTTTTCATCAATGCAGTTTCCCAACCATTTTATGTGAGCTGTTGCATTTTACGTACTAAAAATACACATGTGGTGGGCATCGAAGGCAGCTGGAGACCATGCAACTTCCCAGATATATTATTAGCATGCAGAGAAATATGATATCCGACCACAAATTGCATCCATGCATCCCTTTGCAATAGCAATTTTGCACACATTGAAACTACAGTGAAAATTGTGCAGCTATTACTGTAATTGACAATCCCCCTATTAATTTCCTAAAAGTTATTTTGTATTCATAAACATTGCATTTAAATGTGGAAACCTTACCAAAACACCTGAACAGAACTTCATTTAAATGTACATCAATAGCTTTAAAAACTATTATATACAACTAAAGTCAACTCCTAATGGCTGAAAAGGAGAGATGATAATAGCAAGCAAATTTGCTCTGTGGGCACCAACTTATGTTTTACGACCAGCTATATAAATTATACACCTCTTTTAAGTGCCAAATTTACCAGAACCCAGAGTTTAACACTGATACATGGCATGCTATTTGAAAACCGGGAAAAAAAATGAATGCAAGATTATCTTCACCATATCTTTCCTAAATGTGGTTAGAAAAAAAAAAAAAAGCTTCCTGGAAAGCCACCTAAGAGTTTAATGTGCTGGAAAACATTGGTCTTAATGTCATAAAAAAACTCCGGAAAGTTCCTTCAACCCCAAAACCCAAGCTTAGGTATGCAGAAATGCTTCTGGTTTCACAAACTGGCCAAGACAAACAGAGGCGAAGAAGCACATGGAGGGGAAATCTCAAATACTCGTCGGATGAACATGAGTGAATAGAAAAGTTGGCGAGGAAAATATACTGTGGAGGTTTGTTCGAACTGAAACAGGGCGAAGCAAAATATTGCACTTTTACATCTACGCCACTATTAGAGGCTGAAGAACCCTCTGTACCCAAAAAACAAACAAAGACCACCACGGTTTCCTGTTTTCAATAAAGTTCCCATTAAGGATGTGTTTACAGGAATTGTCTTCTTTTCCATTTGGTGCTCTGCTTGTTTTCATCCAACAGCAGCAATTTTCAGACTGGACTGCAATCTGGACTTAATAGGAAGTCAACCTGGACTAGGACCTCATATTTCCTCAAACTCCAAGAGTTCTACAATGTGAAAAATATGAACGGACGTATGTATACAATGGAATCAGTTTTCAGCAAGTTTTTTTTTTTTTTTTTTTTTTTAAAAAAAGGGCCTGTTTCTTTATGAAGTTCTGAGGTAGGGCTAAGACACTTTCCACTGTGCATATTACGGTATATTTTAGTGTTTGAACTATTTAAATAGACAGTTTTAAGCATTTATTGAGGCGATATCAAGTATTTGCAGATTTAAAGCCATCAGTGAATGTTTCTGACAATACAAACTGGAAGAGAAGGAGTTTGTCATATTTCTGACTAATCCAAAGATGAGGAGCCAGATCATTTATTCAAATAAACTTTAGAGAATAAAAAGGGTGAACAAATCATAATGGTAATGATTTATGACAGAGTATGGGAGCTCAGAAAATCCCTCTCAGAAAGAAAACTCCCCATCTTTTTTTCCCTCTAACTCAAGTTTTCTTCTCCTACTTCTGAAGAATCATGGACCCTTCTATGAAAGGTCGACAAATATAGTCCGCTTTTGAACTGCGTATTAACTAAATCTATGTGAAGTAACAATTACAACACAAAATAGTAATGCATTAAATTATAATAATCCAAATAAGTCACAAAGAAATCCTGGTTAAACCAAACAAATCCTCAACTGAGCTGAAGGGGCAATTACAGAAGGAAAAACCGCTGCTGGGGTTGTACCACCAAAGAGAACTGAAGCGGCTGATGTGACCAAAACCTACAAAATGGCTACAAGGTCAAAAATGAAGGGCACCAAGGAATGGCTGATCAGCCCAGGGGAAGACTCGAGTTCTGTTAAACCCAAGACTTGACAAATGTCTGACAACATGTGGAGAACTCCACCAAGAACAGCAAACTTGTGTCAGTTCTCTCCCTTCTCACTTACTTTGTATTTGTCCTCCTTTGTCACTATATTATAAACAAACGTCTTCAATATTTGCAGATTTCAGTCTCTTCTTTATAGAGACCAAATCCTTCAGTAAATCCAAGTAAGACCATCTGGAAAAAATGTCTTTCCTCCATTACAACTTGTAATATTATGATTTATTTTCTGCTACATAAAATGTTCATATCCTCCTTATGTTTTTTCTTCAACTCCTCCTCAACTCTACTGAAAAGCATTTCCAGGCAGGAAAGTAACTAAATCTCACTTATTTGTGAAAAGGAGACAGCATAATAGAAACGAGAGAGTCTGCAGGGATCTAGACCCAGTTTCTGATGCGTTGTCTCAATGAAAAACTTGGGCCCTCTTTAAGATTTGATCTGACATTATAAAATGAGAAGAAAAGAAAATGTAATCCAGAAGTTTATGGAGCTAATTTGTGACATTTCTTTTTTAATCACAGCTTGTTTATGCAGCCATTTTGCTAATCTGCACTTTGTTTGTTTTTTTTTATTTGATTTGTCCTCTTTGATTATGTTAACATTTCCAATGCCTCAAAAACTCATCTAAGATAAGCAGCCATGACTGCGTCATTGTTTTTTTAGGCTATTTTTACTCGCTCTAAATAACATAACATTGTTTTCCTCTAATCTTCTGTGTCGTGTGTATTGAATTTACTGCATTAGCAGACTCACGTCTTTAAAAGATAAAATGACCTCAGTGTGGAGTCAAACTATTAGTACTGCTCGGTGCAATAATA